TCTGCAATTACAATTGTATTAGTACGAAATCAGATTAGAGATATCTGCAAATATATTATGACTAGTCATATTCCTCCATTGACTTCCATTGAAAAATATTTGCAGATATCTCTAAGTTTTGACTCGTCAAAAATCCAATTCAAGATATCTACAACTGTAATTCGACAATTAATTTTATTAGAGATAACTTAAAATATATTTGTAAATATCTCTAAATATGACGAATTAAAGACATCTCCAAATGTATTATGACTAGTAAAAACTTAGAGATATCTCTAATTACAATTGTGACTAGTCAAAACTCATTTAGAGATATCTGCAAATATTTTTCAATGGAAGTCAATAGAGGAATATGACTAGTCATAATATATTTGCAGATATCTCCAATCTGATTTCGTACAATTGTAATTGCAGATATCTCTAATTGTCATTCTAACTAGTCGAATTATAATTATGACTAGTCAAAATATAATTAGAGATATCTCTAAATATATTTATGGAGTCAGAACAAAGATTTAAATGCTAAAAAGGCTTGCCATAGAGAGCGCTTCTGAACAGCGCAGCAGCGATGACGTAAGCGTGCCGAGGCCCGATATGGTGTGAGCGCGGGCCGTCGGGGGGAGACGGGAGAGGGGACAAGCATGCTTTGGCCCGGTTCGAGGCAACTGTACCTAGTGTGAGTATGGCCTCAAACAAGCGACCTTCTTGCTGTGAGGCTATCTTGCTACCCACTGCACCACCGCGCCACCCATTTAAATATCTATGTAACAAAATAGTTTTATAGGCTTTTGTTTCTAGCACACATATATTTGTTTCAATACACACATATATTATGTCAAAACAAACTTTTATTTTAGATGCAATTAATCATGATTTACTATATGTAAAGGAACTTTACATTATTACATTGTTATTGTATACACTGATATTACATTGAAAAAAATATACTTTATATTTATACAATACAAGCATATTTGTATTTATTGTATTGTGTCTTTCGTGTATAAAATATAATGAACGAGATTTGTTTTATTTTTATTATGTATATTTAAAATATTCATTAAATTATCACTTTTAAATTTAAAAGTGATAAATATATATATATATATATATATATATATATATATATATATATATATATATATTTGAAGTCAGAATTATAAGCCGCCCTGAATTATTATTAGTCCTCCGTTAATTTGTTTCCCTGAAGATTTTTTCAACGCATTTATAAACATATTAGTTAAAAAAGGTTATCAGTTATACTGTGAAAATTTCCTTGCTCTGTTAAACATCAATTGGGAAATATTTAAAAAAGAAAAAAGAATTCAAAGGTGGGCTAATAATTCTGACTTCAACTGTATATATAACATTTAATATATATTTACTGTATATATTATATTATGATATATATATATATATATATATATATATATATATATATATATATATATATATATATATATATATATATATATATATTTTACATCTATTTAATATTTTCTCTTCTTTATTACAATGTAGATTTTTTTTCTTGCAAAAAAAAATCATGATACAATTTTGAAATAACATTAACATTGGTATTCTATATAGTGTTGCTTCTATTTGATAAGAGCTTTTTTAAGCCTTAAATAAATGTTTGCTATATTCTTTTATTTATTACTGCCTTTTATTTTCCTGTTCATTGGGGTGTCATATAATCAAAATGTACAGCACATGTTCTAGAGGCAAAACTAACATTACAGTGTTTATAAATAGCCTGGCAGGCGTTATTCAAGGATCTTTTGTTTTTCCTCCGCAAAACAACATCCTCCTAAAGCCGTGGTGAGAATTGTCCTCTCATCAAAGCAATAATGTATTTATTGCACAGCTATAGGTTTCCTCCAACACAATACCAGCCACAAAACTCAGATATTTCTTTTTTTTTTTGATAAAGAAAGACACCAGTGCAGGGTCTTTCACATCCATGATCACAGATCTCATAGCCTCATTACTCTCGGATTTTGAGTTTGCCACTGCTGTCATCATTTCCCTTTGCTCTGATGAATTATGGGAGGGTGAAGAGATGATCTATGAGGAGAACAGAGATGGTCTTGAAGGCTTTCTGTATAGGTGAGAGGTTTCTACACCCTCCCGGGATCATTGCGCTTGAAATGAGGGATGACGTTGGTCTTTCTGGCTCCATTAGAGGACCTCTTGCTTGCTCCTAAGTGCTCTTTCTGCATCTTCATCTGCGGTGGGCTCAGGTGGCTTTGAGCGGTTTATATAAACCTCTGAATGTGTGCCGTATGGGGTCTTCTCACCCTTTAGTGCTATTTTCAGTAACTGTATCCACGGGAGATTAAATGAGTCATTTCTTGCTTTCCTCTGTGATTTTCAGCTGGTTTTTATGGACTATCGTTTAATGTCAAGGCTCTGTCTGGATATCTGTTTATTAGAGAGCTAGTAAAGCTTTCAAAATCATTTCTGGGGCTGGCTGAAAAAGCTGTTCACAAGCTAGGGCTATAATGACTTGGCCTACTTTTGCATTAAGTTACAACTTACACACTATTAAACAGATTTGTTTTGTAGTAAGCTTAAAGAGACAGGTCACCCAAAAATAAAAATTCGGTCATTAGTTGCTCACCCTTCATTTGTTTAAAACCTTTATGGGTTTCTGTCTCTCTGTTAAACACAAAATAAGACATTCTGATGAAAGCTGGAAACCTGTAACAATTGACTTCTATGGTATTTGTGTTTCCTACTATTAAGGTCAGTGGTTACTTGTTTTCAGCTTTCTTCAAAATATCTTCTTTAGTGTTCAACTTAATAAAAAACGCATAGAAGTTTGGAGCCACTTGAGAGTGAGTAAATAGAAGTTTTTATTTTGTCCAATTTTGACCACTTCTCTGATTTCTTAGGGGAAAGAGCCTATATGGATATGTGGTAGGCTTTTCTAGAGGTTTCGATCTGATTTTGTTAAATAGGTTTGCACAATTTTTATATGAAAGCAGAACACAGCTGCTTTAATTTCTGCTTTAATAGCTGCAAACCGCTCTGAATGCTGAATGTTTGTTTTAGAAACATTAGTGGTCAATGTTTGCATTGCAAAATATGCAATCAGGACTTCATAAATAGGAAGCAGGACATTTCACTAATGAAGCATTTGTGTTTTAAACAGCAGGTTGTTTTAGTGACATAAAAAATCTTACTAAAATACAAATATACAAAGAAGTAGAATTCCTGAAAAAGATAAATGGGGAAACCATGAGCTGAAAAAGGCTATGCTGTGCCCCACTAGTTGCCAGTGATAGTCACTACGTGTTGTGAAGAGGCTTTCAGACTGGAAGCGGAAAGTTTTGCGCTATGAAACCCATACATTTCAATGGGTTGTGCAGTCGAACTTCAAAATAGCTCAATATTATGCTCACAATGCCATATATTGTACTTATCAGCATGAAGCACATAGGCTCACCATAAAAGAAAGAATAAAATAGAATATTTCTATGTAGTAACTTGTTCTGTTAATAGTGCTGTTACGTTACTGTACTTTCAATGTTGGTAAAATGATGCCTCTCTACTCTTCAATAAATATTACTGACAATAAAATGTGGTTATTTAATGTTTTTTCTAAATCAATATAATTTAAGCTATTGAGTTCAATTTAAAAAGACCTACAAAATGACTTAATGTTATTTAATAAAATAAAAAAAACTATTACAAAGCATTTCCGCTTTCAGTTTTCAGGCCAAGTGCATCCAGAAGGGTTCTACCCTGAATTTACATTTGGCACAGCTTCAGTAATGAATGTAATTTAGTTTTAGTATGATATCAGTATTTCTTTGTTGCCAAAATAATTTTCTTAATGTTATTTATTTATAATTATTTTGATAATATATTATAGTATTTTTACAAATATTTCTTGAAGCAAAAGAAAGTTATCTGACTACACATAAAAAAAAACACACACACAAAAAATGCATGACCTATTAACTATATATCTATGTTTTACTTTAAAAACAAGTTGTGCCGCCAAATAAAACAACCAACAATTGCATTGGATAAATAAATCAAATAAATTCTCTTGTTAGTTAATTGGTCAATCATTCAGTTTTTACAGTTAGTGAAATATCAGGTTAAACACCTTCTATCTAATAAATAAAACAAGATTATCAGCTTGTATGATTGCTTTATAGAAGAATATTAGCTGTAGTTCTAATATGGGGCTTAAAATATGCCAAAACAATCTGAATTTGAAATGTCAATTTGAATTATTAACAATTGTAATTTAATAAAACTGAATATTAGGGCTGTGCAATTCGGGGAAAAATCTAATTGCGAATTTTATTTTATTTTTATTATTATTTTTTACATTTATTTATTTTTATTTAATTATATATTTTTACTGATATTGAAATTTGATTTACGATTTAAATCAAGCTTCAAGCTGAATATAATTTAATTCAAGCTTCAGCTCAATAATGTGTAAGCCATGGCAAAAATTCTCTGACAGCTCTTAAAAATGACTGTTTTTGTTCGGTGTCTGTGACTTTGAAACCAAAATATTCCCATATTACCAACGCTGTTTTTCCTTGATATTAATTTGTCTATTAATGCTTCTGAAGCAGCAGGCACCATTATCTCACTTGTCTGCGCTTTTCTGTTTGTTTTCTTTTTTTATTGTCGGCATAGTTCAGTTCAGTAATTTTTAAGTCTGATTGTTTTCAATTTAAAGTTGTTAATTATTCAAAATTCAAATTTAGATTGTTTTGGCATAGTTTTAGCTCCATACTAAAAAAAACTATGCTGCTGATGTTATTTTGTACAACACTGTAAAAGCAAAATAGTTAAAGCAGCCTGCTGAATAAGGTGCTATATAAGTTGTTACTATTTCTTTCTGTAGCATTAAAATGGTGTAAAATGTGCATGTGCATCCATTCCCAACATCATCATCCTCCACACGCAACCCTTCCCCCATCTGCACTACTGACCTCTTACCCAGAATCCTTTTCTGCCTCATGCAGGAGTGTCCTCACGCTTCCCAGACATCATGGCTGCTGGCACTCACTCTCCTGGAGGACCCAATGGCATCATCAGGAGCCAGTCGTTCGCTGGCTTCAGCACCCTGCAGGAGAGACGCTCACGGTGAGCACATCTGACCCAGCACAAGCACACTAATACTGTTCTCTACATGAGCTAACCTTGCTCTCTACATGACCTACTACATGAACATTAAACATGCAAAGAGTTTGATATAATATAATATAATATAATATAATATAATATAATATAATATAATATAATATAATACATGCAGGTCTATAAACATGTTTCAAATGCTTTATTAATTTAAAAAAAATAAATAGCAAAGCATTATATATTATATTTAACTAATTGTAAAAACTAAAAATGTTTTAGTAAATAATTTGACATCAAAAGATATTAGATTATATAGGATAAGAAATTTGATATAATAATACAAATATTTTGTTTAATATTTAAAGTAATAAATTATTAAATGTATATTAAAATGATATCAGCTATACTTAATTATATTATTTATAATAAATGTTACATAACTGATATGAAGTTACATGTAGGATTTAAACATTTATGAATAACTACAATTATTGAGTTACATCACTATCAGGTTTAGACAATCTAGTGCCAGACCGAAATGTATGATTTGTTTAATTTGTTACTGACTATCTTAAAATATATCAGTGCCTTTTGGGTTTTTTCAAGATGGAGACCAGCAGTAGTTTTTTTTGTTTGTAATTGCCCTTAATTATAAAATATTCTGATTTTAAAGTCTAAGTCTAGTCTAAGCGCTTTCTCTGAAACCAGGCCTTAAAGTTGATCCATTTATTTAAACTATATATTAATCTAATATTAATCTGTTATGTTTCTTTGTATTATGTTAAATAATTAAAAAATGTCAAAAACGTTTTTTATACTGGGGATTAAGTAAAACAACTACAAGAAGGTTTTAAAAATGTCAGGTTTCATGTAGTTTACTTCATAACAAGTAGGCAAAACCATTTCAAAGGGAGATTTTGTATAAAGTTGTTTTGCGTGACCAAAAGTATGTGGACACCCAAACTCCACACCCATCATTTGAAAGCTATTAATTCCTTTCATAACTTCAATAACTGTTTCCACATCTCTGGCAAAACTTTCCACTAGATTTTAGAACATTACAATAAAATTGCACAAGAACAGCACATTATATCCATGTGAATGGGTGTATTAACCACATTAAATTTAGATACTTCAGGCAAAACGGTTTTTTCATGCACCTCTCGAGCTCGAGATTTTGGGCATTTGGGCTTTTTTCAGTCTAATAAAAACAAAGAAAACTTCCAAAATACACTTTTAAGTGTTTTTGTCACACTTTCTCAATTTGTGTCTGTAATTTTGATTACGACACATAAATTAGTTTTTCTTCACCTGCTTTGAGCCACAAATACAAAATTGGCCTGAATTTATACAGCATTTCATTCTACAAAAACAGTGGATTTCTTATTTTGGTCTTTTTTTGGTCATTTTTGGGTCGTTTTGGTCAAGTGATAAATAAAATTCCCCAAATCCCCTCTGTAAAAACCTTTGACTCTAATGTAACAAACAAACAAACAAACAAACAAATAAACACATTTTGAATTTTATTCAGTGTTCGGAGTTTTGTTCTAGAACTGTATTAGTACACACATTAGTACATTTCTGATATACTTTGCATGTTTCTACCTAACATTTGAAAGTACTTGCAGCGTCTTAAAGAGTGTGCTGGGTGCAGTGGATTCTGCTCAAGTAGTTGTAGAAATGGTAAACTTAAACGTCCTTGAAAGGAAATTTGTTATGGGCATCACCATATGAACATGCAAACACGCAGTAAAACAATACAAAAATACAGTACTTACAATAATAAAAATAGCTGCAAGCAGCAATTATCAGGGCCAAGCAGCCCAGCGGCCACATCATAAACAAGCACGGCAACAAGCTACAGAGCAACTGAAAATTCTATAACTTTTTACAAACACAAGCTCTATGTTAAATTTGTTCACAAGTTAATCAAAAACGGTTAGTCTAATCAACTTAAATTCAATTACTTTTGGTTAGCATGGTCTGTAGATCTCATGATTCAATTATGGTGAAGATCAGACAAATGGCATAAGACGAGTTTGTTCAAACAGGTAAAAATAGCGAATAAATTCTCGTGATGGAAAATGGCGACATAGGGTGCGTTTGAATCGACTTGAGTCAAGGAATCTTGATCGTAGCCCATTCGGTTCAAAAGTTAGAAAGATAAACATAAGCGAAACTTTTGACAAGTGGTGCCGCTAGAGAGTTTGAGTAAGAGAGTGCAAATTTGTTGTGGTTAATGATCAGACTGTCTTCAAAGGCTGCATTTACACTGCAGATCTTGATGGTCAATTCTGATTTTTGTGACTGTATCCGATTTTTTTTGATGACCAGCGTACATCATCTTTTAAAAGTGACTCGTATTTGATCGTCTGCATTTACACAGCACAAAGCAAGGGCGCAATGGCACAGAAAAAAAAAAGAGCGGCCGCTGACTAACAGCTGCAAATTAAAGAGCACTTTTTTCTCCATTCCTTTATGTAATCTGTTCGCAACTCTTGACAAGCTGTTTTACTATAGTTTATGACAGAAAGGTTCTCATTTGGCTATCTTCTTTTGATATATATAGGCTTTTTTAAACCTTTAGGCATCTTAATGTAATGTCCATGGCGTGATTTATGCACGTGATGGATGCACTAGTTTGATATTAGTTTATATTGGTTACCTGGCAGACATTGCTGAAATACCTGTGCTATATGACAATATAAAAGCTGTTTTAGTTCTCCTGTATGAGATTTAAGGTTTGTGACTCTGCTGAAGTCTGTTCTGAAATGAAAGCGTCAGACTTGACGTCATTTGCAGGTGAAAATCTGATCTACCTGCTTACACTGCAGACATGAGAACACAGATCCGATTCATATCCGATAAATTTTCACAAATAAACAAGGCCTGAATCTGATTTGAGTAAATCGGAATCCATTTGATTTGATTCTGCTTACACGTACAGTACATGGGCCATATCTGATCTGTGTCACATGGGAAAAAAAATTGGAATTAAGTCACTTGAACCATGCAGTGTAAATGCAGCCTAAGAGTGTGCCAAAGTTTGCGCAAATGCTGCAAACGGTTCATAGGGCTGCCATAGACTCCAAGAGCAGAGGAAGAAGAAGAGGAAGTCGGAATAATAATAATAACAACCGAAACAGATACAATAGGTGCCTACGCGCCTTCGATGCTTGGCCCCTAATAATGATTGTTTAGATAAACTCTTATTAAATAAACCTACTAAAACGGGTGTAAAGTATTTATTGTATCGGTTTAAGCTACACTTAGGAACTCTATATCTCCCATCAGAGGGAAGGTTTTCATAATGTGAATACAAAACACTGAGTTGGATCATTCAGAACCCTTTCCACCTGATTAAGGACACAGTTCTCATGCAAAACTTGAGGAATATAATATTCATTGTGCCCAACAATTTTTCATCCTGTCTTTAAGAGGTGCATCAACTTAGATTTAAGTCTGGTTTATACTTCTGCGTCAAGTGATCGGCATGACCCACGGCGCATACCTTGCGCATTGCCGTGCATTTTACTTCTGTGGCTGTTTCTGATCTCTGCAATAACACTTCTGAAACACAAGCTGGCAGTTGGTGTTTATGTTCCTCTGTGTCGAGTTTTTTCTGCTGGTGTTTTGTTTTTTCTAAATGCTTTCTTAATGTACAAGTGGTTTAAACTCGTTCATTTTGAGGCAGGAATCAGCGGACGTGCAACAGCTTTAACCATGAGATAAACACAAAACAAAAGTTTTCATCTGGAGCTCCTTCACGGGACTCCACACTTGTAAACACTCGCTCCAACGGACTCACGCGGCTCCCGGTCCTGCTCACAGCGCTATCAAGCCTATCACAAACCAATCACAGAGCCATTGCGACGTGTAGTAACATTTTTAGAGAGGTGCGCAACAACGTCGCCGACGGCCACGGCGAGGGCTATGCGTCCATGCCTAAGCTGCGCCGTAGCATACGCGTGCGTTTGACGCAGAAGTATAAATCAACTTTTACACTGTGCGAATAGGTTGACAAACCACACTGTGATACCATACCTGACAATGCCTTCAAGAACAGCTCCATAAAACAACATCATACGTTTCTTGTTTACTCCAAAGAGATGCAACCTCCATAAAAAATACAATCTGTGGAGTAAATGAGCGAAAAGCCATTCTACGCGTGTTTTCCATGTGAAAGAACTGTCAGTGTAAATGCCCAAAGACTTATCTACTTTAGTTAGGCGGACTGAATGTCTGACCCTCCGGCTACAGCATGTGCTCATTCTCCACCATGGCCTAGATTTGCTGTAGCTCTACTTCCAGTGCTCTTTTTGACTGTGCGCGACACGTTCAGACATGTCCAACAGCCAACTGCCATTGTGTTTTTATGATCCGAGAATATATATTGGATGCGGGGGCCCATGACCTCAGAAGTGGTCTAATAAGCACGCTGAAACATTTTGACAGGAGTTTTAAATGTCAGGAAGCAGCGAGGAAGAGAACAGCACTACAGGCGTTATCCTAATAGCTTATAGGAGGGTTTAAATGACATTCGAACATCAATCCTTTGAGTCTCTGTTAAGAGAAAAGGATTTGCTATGGTATAGATGTGCGTGAAATGAGCGTTCGGTGTGATCGGCCACTAAAACTGACTAAAATTAAATGACTAAATGACTAAAAATGACTAGTTTTAAAACATAAATTCAAAATTACAAGAACTGTAATTTAGCCTATTAATAAATCTACAAATACAATAGGTACTTGATTATACTAAAAATACACTGGTTTCACTTAAAATAATATTTGCTTAAATTATTTATCAATACTTTGAAGCATCTGGGTGTCCTCTTTTAAATTTCCATATTTATTTTATTATATTTTATTAAATTAAATAAATTTAATATTATTATTATTATTATTATTATTATTAATAAGAATAACCAAAATAATAATAAATAATATTTTATCCACAATATTTCAAAAACGTATTTCTTCAATTTTAACCATTTCATTAATTTCTACAATTGCGATTTTTTTTTTTTATTTTTTATTTTTTTTTATTATTATTTTTTTTATTATCAGTAGTAGCATTGGGTTTACAGTAATACTTTTTTAACATCTGTATTTATTTATTTACATTATGGCAGTAAAAAATGAAAAGGGATGTCCATAATTGTCTTTAAAATAAAGCAAAGTTTTCTTTAAGCATTCTAGTACCTTTATTCATATTTTGTGGTAAAAAAAACTGACCTCCACATGTTCAGGAGAAATTTGTTATATTCACCCACATCTGTTTGCATGTCTTCAGGTGCAACTCCTTCATGGGGAACTCGGCAGTGCAGAAGAAGCCCATCTCCAAGCCCAGGAAGCCCCATCTGTCCGGGCATAAATCCAGCAGCAGCAGCAGCAGCTCACGAGAGCCACAGCCTAAACGTGTGGAGGAGGTTTACAGCGCACTCAAGCAAGGCCTGGAGTAAGTGCTGCTGGACATTTCTTTATCACATCTTTCTAGTCACACTGTACTGTATGAAAGAAAAAAATAGCTGTTGCCTTAAATGTTTTAACTTTACAAGTCCAAAATCAAGTAAAAAGTGCTTGAGGGGTAAATAATGTGTCTGTGCTCTTTGGATAAAGGATTCATAATGATAAACAACAAAATCATAAGACACTCGAAAAGTAAGTGAAAAAATAAAAAAAACCTCTGCAAAACTTGCCTAATGATGAAATGCGTAGGTGTGTTGCACAACAGTGCTGTTTACTTTTTAAATAATAGCCATGCTAATAAAGGCTTTTTAATCTTTTCACTTACTTTTTGAGTGCTTTTAACTTATGATTTTGTAGTTTAACATTACAAGTCATTTTAACTTTCATTATATTAAACAATTAAATCAGCTCAGGCTGCACGGTGGCGCAGTGGGTGGCACGTTCACCTCACAGCAAGAAGGTCGCTGGTTCGAGCCTCAGCTGGGTCAGTTGGCGTTTCTGTGTGGAGTTTGCATGTTCTCCTCGTGTTTGCGAGGGTTTTCTCCGGGTGCTGCGGTTTCCCCCACAAGTCCAAGGACATGCGGTACAAGTAAATTGCTGCGAAAAGGGCCCAAGCGTGGTTCAGTTGGCTGTCCATGGCCCGGTCGGAAGAGGTTTGTTCCAGAGTGTGGTTCGGTTGGTCTTTGACATGGTACGCTTGTAGTGTGAGTGCAAAGCGCGCCTGAGCCCGAAACTGAAGACGTGACGTAATTTTTAAGGGACTGTTTCATATGGATTCATTAATCATTCTGCGAACTGTCATCGTTTATTAAAGATACAACCTCCCACAAGGACTTTTATAATAACCAACTTATCCAGCATATGTTTTACGCAGCGGATGCTCTTCCAGCTGCAACCCATCTCTGTGAAACATCCATGCTCACTCATTCACACTCATACACTACAGACAATTTAGCCTACCCAATTCACCTGTACTGCATGTCTTTGGACTGTGGGGCAAACTGGAGCACCTGGAGGAAACCCACGCGAATGCAGGGAGAACATACAAACTAGACACAGAAATGCCAACTGACCCAGCCGAGGCTCGAACCAGCGACCTTCTTGCTGTGAGGCGACAGCATTACCCACTGCGCCACTGCGTTGCCACTCCCTTATTGGTATGTATTTTTTTCAATCAAATTATCCTTACAAGTAATTTTTACTTGCATTACTTAAAGGGATAGTTCACCCAAAAATGAAAAGGAACATTTGCTCACTTTTCACTTGTGCCAAATCTATATGAGTTTTTATTCTGTTGAACACAAAAGAAGATATTCTAAAGAAAGCTGGAAAACATTGACTTCCATAGTATTTGTTTTTCCTTTCTTAAAAAAATCTTGCTTTGTGTTTGACAGAATAAATAACTCAAAGTTCTATAACCATTGAGTTAATAGTAAATAAATGTTCATTTTGAAAAGAACTATCCCTTTAAAATACATATATAAATTCTTTAGTCGAAAAAAATAAGCTTAAACATGGAAATCAAATTTTTATGAATTATATTAAAATAGAAACATGTTTTTGTGACTTATTGATCATATTTTGTACAGTGTGTCTGCACAATGACGGCATGAATCAGTGCTGTGATGTAATATTGACGTGCAGTCATTGTTAGTGCAGCTCTGCAGAGCACTCAAGTCTTTGCTGTTTTCTCTTTCTGTCAGTGAATATCTGGAGGTGCACCAAACCGAGCTGGATAAACTCACTTCCCTCATGAAGGACATGAAGAGGAACTCCAGACTGGTGAGACAGGATGTGACATCACTAGGGTGTCTACACACTACAGTTTGAGCTGTGTCAGAGTGCACAAATCTTTTGTTGATTATGTCAAAATCAGTGGAGAGGGATATGAACTTAATATAAACTGGTTAAATATAATAGTATAATGAAATAATCACAGTTTTTACACTAAATGTTGACACTGATCATTTTAAATTGCTGTTAATGGAGAAAGGTGATTATTTTTTTACCGTTTAGTTTTGATTTCAGGATTTTTGTTTAGTTCTTTGCTTTTGGAAATTAATGTAATTTTTTCACCATCATAAAAATGGACAAGTCTGATTCAAAAAGCACTCTTGTCTGAACATACTGTAGTGCAGGGGTTTTCAACCTGTGGGGGGGGCACTCGAGTAAATTATGATGACGATTTTTATGCGTTCACTAGAGTGAATCTGATTAACATTAGTTCCACAGCTAACTATCGGGCACCTGTAGAGTTATTGCGTTTGAGTAAAAAAATATACAAATAAAATGGACCGTGTGCTTTTTAAAATGAATGCCGGTGAATGAGAGTAAAGCCGGTGAGCCGTCTGACAAAACAAGTGCCCTTCTGAATAAAATAAGCAGGATGCCCTTCTGGATCTTTCACTTACTTTAAAGACACTACTGACTACGTTTACATCGACATCAGTAATAGTTATTTGCCTTATTCTGAATAAGACAATAATATAATTAAAGCGTTTACAAGAAGTGCTTTTTGAATGTTGCGGCACCAGGCTATACATGTTTCTTGCCGAGTTTCTTGTAATTTTGGGTGTTTCATCCTAATTTTTTACATTTTTAACTGCAGTTTGGAAGTTTCACTTTCACTCTTGAACATTTCATTCATGCCCCCATGTCAAACTGGGCTATTGTACACGAGTATGACTAAGGAGTGGTGGAAGAGTTCTGTTTGAATGTACTGTAATTTAAATTTCGCGAATGTGTGTGTCTGCTGTTCTTTACTGACAGCCATGTGCGTGGATCTTATTGCAAAATGTGGCGAAAAGTCCTACATGATGGTAATACTTGTATTATATATGCATACTCCAAATGTCTTAATTCCATTTCCATCTTTAGGGGGTGGGCGCAAATGATATTGGACAAACTTGGTTGTTTGGGGTGTGGGGGGTGGGGGGGGGGTCTTAAAAGTTTGAAAACCCCTGCTGTAGCTTGTAAATGCCAACCCAAGCTCATTCTGAAAGCGTAGCCCTGCGGAAGTTTCTGGAGGCTGCGATTTACATGGCCGGAGGAACGCATGGCTGCATTTTGTTTTTTCAAGCGAACGTTATGGGGTGATGTGACGCTGCTCCTCTTCGCGCTCCCCGGTGGAAGAGCGGTTCCAGAATCAGGTAAGACAAAAACAGAATCCAAAAAATAAAGTGAACGAGTTCGTAACGGGGCAAGAATGTGGTAATATATGAAAACGCGGTCAAAATCGCACGAGGGCTTTTCTTCTTCTGCATGGCTTTTGTAAATCGTCGCTTGGGTTTTGGGAAGAAGGAGGAGGAGGGTGGCCGAGTCTGCCGATTGGGCGGCCGTCCAGTCAATCGTTCAGTCATTCAGTCAGTCGGTGAGTCGGACAGCTGGTTGCTCGACAGCGGCCTCCGGCGGCTTTTTACACACGGGCGTGAAAAGCGCGCACAGCGGCCTCTCGCGGATTCGCGAAAACAAAAACTGCACAAATACATACCTCCAGGGATGTATTTCGCGGTCTACAGAAAGGGGCTACGTTTTCAGAATGAGCCTGGGTTGGTAAGTGAATGTTGAAAAAACCCTGCTGAAAAAAACTAGTATAAAAGGTCAGGGGAAAATATAGACTATACTAATACTGTAGTAATCAAGCTGTAAATTTAGATTTACCTTTACAGAAATAAATAACAATTTATTTATAACCATTAATTATAGTATATTTAATTAGAAAAAAGTTATTCTCAGTTAAATAAATGCCTTTTTTTGGTAATATGAATAACAAAATACTGCAGAAATCGTTAAAGTTTATTTTCAGAGCATATATTTTTGCATAATGCATGGGCAGAATTTTTACTTTTTGGTGTACATGTGAAAAACAAGTGTTAAAAAGAAAAGACATTAAAATCTAATTAAGAAGTGATTAATTGCAGTGCAGCACGTTTTAGACGTTATTTTACTCACCCTCAAGCCGTTCAAGATGTAAAGAAGATTTTTAACTGAAACTGTGGTCCTTGGTGATTTAAAGTCAAAAGCTTCTGGCACTTTCATGAAAAACAAATTTAATAAAGTAATTTGTTTAATGAAATGTGGGAACACTTTACAATAAGGTTGTATTAGTTAATGTTAGTTAATGCATTTACTAACATGAACAAACAATTAATAAAACATTTATGACTCACAGTGCTTTAACTAATGATAACAAGCAAGAATTTAGATGTTAATAATGCATTAGTCAATGTTGAACTATGACCTAATAAATGCTGTACAAGTATTGTTCATTCTTAGTTCATGTTAGTAAATACATGAACTTACATTAGCTAATGAACCCTTATTGTAAAGTGTGACCTAAAATGTATACCAGCAACTTCTGATGATAAATTGAGGTATAGCCTATGTTTGTTTGACTCCCAGAGTGCTATTGAATTGCACTGTAAATCAACAATGACCAAGTTTTAAGCCAAAAATCTTAAATGTCCTACTCAGGAAAATTTTACCTACAACAAGCCTGAGGGTGAGTGTATAATTTCTGATTGAACTATTCTTTCTATATGGTCTTTTTAGCTTGCTATCAGATTTTCTAGGAGGAGATCATGATTTTTTCTTGCAGCGTTTCCACTAATGTTGCTTTTTTCTTCTTTCTCAGGGTGTGCTGTATGATCTTGACAAGGTAGGTTCACTAAACTCACTAATGCTTCTTATCCTGCATGAGTTGACCCGTGCTAAACTTTTGATGAAGTTTGAAGTGAGAAACATGCGGCAGGAGGAATAAGCAGCTTTGCATAAGTGATGTGCTGCATTTTTTTCTGCACTGATCTGTTATTGCGGCACTCTGATCGCCGCAGGTGTCAGCCATGTTTAAAATTAGCGCATACGAACTTACATTGATCCCTGTGTGAAAAGCTTTTTTTCCCCCTCTGTCAGCAAATAACTCTACATTTTTGCTTCCTAGCAAATCAAGACCATAGAGCGATACATGCGACGACTGGAGTTTCACATCAGCAAGGTAAAGTTCATGTCTTTTTTTTCTATATTTCTCTACTTTTATTGTCTGGTTTATAGATTAGGAGAAGTATGAGGGTTCTTTCAGGTCTCTAAAAAGTCTTTAAAAATATTACATTTGATAAAAAAAATAAAAAAAAACTTACTAATGAAAATCTTGATTTAGGCATATCTAAACTGTCAAAACTACTTAGAATTATACATATGACTGCATACTATATATAAGAATTACTACTAATAATATTATATAAGAACTACAATAATACTATTATCTATAAATACAGTGGGGAAAATAAGTTTTGAACACGTCACCATTTTTCTGAGAAAACATTTCTAAAAGTGCCGTTGACTTTTTTCTCAGATGTTGATAACAATCAAAGAAATCCACAAAATATATGGAAAGAAAACAAATCTAATCAGTTTACAAATTATGTAATGATGAAGGAAAAAAAGTATTGAACACATGAAGAAAGGGAGGTGTAGGCCGTGAAAGCCCAGACAGCAACTGAAATCTCACAATAGTTATTCAGCAACCCTCTGCCCTTTATCATTATAAATTAATATTAGCTGCTGCGGTCCGACATCTACATTAGCAGGATGATGAAGATGAAACCAAAGTGGACATTTCAGCAGAACAATGATCCAAAACACAGCCAAGGAAACTCTTAAATGCTTTCGGAGAAAGAAAATGAAGCTGTAGAATGGCCCAGCCAATCCCCTGACTTTAATCCAATTGAGAATACAAATTAAAGATCTGATATGATAGAAGAGACCCACAGAACCATCAAGACTTTTACACTCTGTCATGTGACCTTATTCTTTATTCGCTATGTACATTATAATTTTTTATTATCGTGTATTCTCTTGTTTATGTGAAAGTTTACACTATTTCTGAGAGTGTATTATGTGCAGTGTATTGTAAACAAGAATGAAAAGAAAATTGTTAAATATACTTTAAAATCGTAAGTTAACTTTTTATGTTTGGAGGTTATATGTATTGTGTTAATATCAGAATTATTGTTTGAACAATTTGCGAGCTGACATTAGGTTGTTAATGGTTTCATTGTCTGACTGTGCAGCAAAATGCCCTTGAGAGTCAAGATAGACTTGCATTTTTTCCTCAATTAATTTTTATATATATTTTTTCTCATATGATTTAGTTAAATCACAAGATTGTCATTTTACTCAACTATCATTGTTGTAATTCTAATCTTGCATTGAGGTCAACGATGGATCGATTAATCATTTAGTAAATTAAGTAATTGGTTTTAATCAAAGTTCGATCATGGGACTTTGTGGAAACTCTTATTGAGATATCATTTCTTTCCAGTCTTGCACATGTAGTGTTTACATTTTTATTTCTTTGGGTTTGAAGGGACAGTTCAACCAAGAAAAATAAAAATTCTCTTATCATTTACTTACCCTCCACCTATTTCAAACCCGTTTGACTTTCTTTTTTCTGTTGAACAAAAGAAGATATTTTGAAAGTAGGTAGCCATTGATATATGTGTAATATATCACAAAATATATGTGACCACGAAAAACAAACTCAAAAAAGGTCAATTTTTGGGAATTCTTCAATTGATGTATGGTTATTGGCATTGGACAATATTTGTTCAAGAACAAAAATGGAATCTGACAGTTCAAAGGCGACAAGTTTGAGTGGGTTTCCTCCAGGTGCTCCGGTTTCCCCCACAGTCCACAGATATGCGCTATAGGTAAATTGAATAAACAAAATTGGCCGTTGTGTGTGTGTGTGCGTGCGTGCATGCGTGCGTGTGTGAGAGAGAGAGAATGAGTGTGTATGGATGTTTCCCAGAATTGCCAATATTGCCTCTAAATATCTTATAAATATTTTGTAAAGTTGTAAAACGTCTTAGCAGTTACTGATTAAAAAAAAGAAACTGAGCTTAGGTAATATTGAGAAAGGAAATTTACAAAATATCTTCATAGAACATGATTTTTACTTAATGTTCAAATGATTTTTGGCATAATATACTTTTGTGGGCAAATCTTAAAAGTATACTTGTGCAAGACTAATTTTGTGCTCCAGGGTCACCTATTCTTCAGGAGATAGAAACTCATAAAGGGTTTGAACCACATTTTGATGAACTTTCCATTTAAAAAAGGATTTTAAAGGATTTTCAAATTTTAACTTTAAAAATTGGCAGGAAGCCAGAGCACAGCAAGTGGAAAAAATAAACCTCCTTCCTCATTTTGAACCCCCTGGTTTGGCATTCTCCAGTGTCAGGAGTCCTGCTGTGTCCCCTTGCTCTCGCAGTGTGTTTTAGTGGCATTACAGGTGTGTGTGTCTGCAGTAAACTACAGTGCTGAATGGCAACTCAGCAGCACATCTAGTCCCCAAGTAGCCATGGCAACCTGAAGATGGGCGCTTTGAAGAGCAATTCATAGCTCAAATTAGCCCTACACACTTGAAATTAGCCCCGCTTCCAGCTAACCCACATCAACACTCTTGAACAGTGTGGTCGTATCCAGATTTCCAAGAAACAATTTAACCGTTGTTTTTATTTTCATCCCCATAAAGAACATTTTGTGTCTGACTCCTGTTAATGTTTTGTGTTTTCCCTTGTGTTTTATGCTTGGCACTGGATTTAGGTCATGGCAATTCTCTGGAGTGACGAATAAATCTCTAATGGCTCAATCTAGGGTGTTAATGAGCGTATGTCTAAATAGAGGGGAGATGCATTTTGTTTTTGGTGAAATGAAAAAGGAAAGTTTTTGTTTGAAGCTGATTAGATCTGCGATGGCCTATTTAGATTGCATGGATCATCAGGATTGGCATCCCATAGGAAAGAAAGGCACAAATGAGATCTCCTGCATCGAATTAATGTAGAGCAAACTTCTAGTAGTGATATTTTATGTTACTTTTCTGTAGTTTCAGATGAGATCTTAAAGGGCAATGAAACACCCCTGTCTTAGCAGGGTGTTTTCACATTGCTAGTTTGGAAAAGTCAGGAAAGTGGGAGAGTCCAGCTTTGTTTTAGTGGAAGTGGCAATAGAGGGAAGGGGTTGCATGAAAAAGGAGGAGTTTTAGTACATGCACATGCTGATTTTCACAGCGGCAACACAAATGCAGAGGAGACAGACAGTGACTATGTTTACATGGACATTAATAATCAAACTATTTGCCTTAATCTGAATAAGATAATAATATGATTAAGGTGTTTACATGAGTTGCTTTTTGAATGTTCCTTTCATAATCCTGTTTTACATGTTATAGCACATAATACGATTAACTTCATCACGTCACCACGCTATCCATTTTCCCTCTGGAGTTTCATGGAATTTCGGGTGTTTCATTCTTAATTTGTCAACTTGAACTACAGTTTGGCACTTTCACTTTCATTTAGAAACATTTCATGCATGCCCCACTGACAAACGAGATATTGGATACGAGGAACTGCTGGAAGAGTGTAGTTTAAATGGAGTTTGATATATTCTTTGATATAAACACAGCCGAGTGTGTATATCCTTTCACAGAATGTGTTGAAAATCCTACACAAGGTAATAGTTTGATTAAGGTGTTAGCATGTTTACATTCGGAGAGCAGCATTTACAGTGGATCTTTCAGTCCATAATGTTGTAGTGATATTAACGTATGGTAAACTTAGTAACTCAATCATTTTGACCAAGGTATGTCTTTAAAAACTGAAAGAGTACTGCTGATGATACTAACTAACTTTGCCTCTGAATAAACTTAAGCAAAGAACATTGATCGCACACATAATAAATCCGTAGAGACGGGACAATCAACACCAACTGGAACCGCGTCTTTTTTTAAAAGTAGACGAGTGGCAAATCCGCATTTCACATTTTCCAGATGCGAAAAGCTCTCGGGTAAAAATGTTCTTTACAAACATATTTTTGTCGCATGTTAGCAGACCACTGTAATCCACACGTGTCCACACACAGCGGTGCTCTCATTGTGGGAAAATCGAAACAAAACCTTTTGTTACGGCACATTTATAAACACAACACTGACGACCCTTGTCTCCGAATAAATTCTTCTTCTTCTTCCACTTATTTTAATTATGGTTGGCAACACAACGTAGTGCTCTCTGAGTCTGAACACTGTAAGAGGAAAAAAAAGTCTTTGAAGCTATCAGGCATATTAATGTAGTTGCACCTCATTCACAATAGAGCACGCTGATTGGCGGTCTGGAAAGACTTGGAAGTCTTTCTCATTAGTTAAAGATGAAAACTCAAAGACATTACGTTCTATGGGCCGGTATAAACATCCAGTCTCCACGCTGAAATTTCACAAGGATCTCATGGGCGTTTTAAAACAGGAGGAACGAATTTGCTCTAAATAATGCAAAAACAGGGTCTCACGCTGGCGCAGTGGGTAGCATGATTACCTCACAACAAGAAGGTTCAAGCGTTCAAGCCTCGGCTGGGTCCGTTGGCATTTCTATGTGGAGTTTGCATGTTCTCCCTGTTCGCATGGGTTTCCTCTGGGTGCTCAGGTTTCCCCCACAAGTCCAAAGACATGTGCTATAGGTTAATTGGGTAAGCTAAATTGTCCGTAGTGTATATGTGTGAATGATTGATTATGGATGTTTCCCAGTGATGGATTGCAGCTGGAAGGTAAAATCTCCGCTGTGTAAAACCTATGCTGGATAAATTGGTGGTTCATTCCACTGTGCCGACCCCAGATTAATAAAGCCTAAAGGGAAATGAATGAATGAATGAATGAATGCAAAAACATCCAATTTTCACTTTTCTGTGGAATATATGTGTCCTAATAATGTTTTTAGCAGCGTGGGACACATATATGACTGTCAACATCTCAAAAAATGTGTTTTGGTTTTTCGTGGCCCTTTAACAACTTGCGATGTTAAGTTTGTGATCAAATAATTCCTTTAGTGAACTTGATCTGGTTTGCCAAATTAGACAAAATGTCATGTGACTCATGTGAAATTGTAAAAGGTTGCAAAATATGTGTATAATATGATATGACTCATCTTAATAACAAGCAAAGAA